TTGGGAGATGATTAAATGATGTTCCGATATAGCTTGTTTTTACATTTTATTTTTGATAATAAGCTTTTCTAAATTTTTTTTTTAGCTATTGTTATTTTTATTTGCCTTTGCTTGTGCAGAGTAGAAATTTAGCAAATATTAAATGAAAGAATAAAACTTAGAATTACCCAAATTATTTATCTTTTGTAGATGTAGCTCTCTTCAATAATTAAATAAAAGTTGTTATATTTAAAAATTTCAGATTTGCCAAATATTTGTATGCTTGCTCTTTGATAGAATTTGGAGGATGTGAGAAAGAATAAGATTAATACAAAACAATATGTGACAAACTTTGGAGGGAATATTTCATATGTATTATATTTAATCCGCAGTGTATCAGCAGGTCCAGTTAGTTTTTGAGTATCAATTTTGAGCAGTTCTTATTTGTAAAGATGATTATTTTATGATTTACATTTTTTCTTAGATTTCTTTCCAAAGACAAATAGAAAATTTAATATTAAAAAAAAACTAGAACAAAACTTATTCCATCTTGCAATTACCATATGTGATTTATTTATAAATATAATATGAAGTAGTATTTTAGTGATCTTATTTGTCATAAATCTTAAAATGATTTCATTATCTTAAGAATTATTTCATGAATACCCATCAGTTTTTCCCCATCATGCCCCAAAACTAAAAGAACAAGAATACAAAAGAATGATTGAATAATGTAGTAATGAAATTACTACTATTGTTCTTCAGTTTTCTTATTGTGTTGTCCAAAGTATGACATCTTAAGTCTTTTTTCTTCTTCTTTTAGCTTTCATCGGGCATAGTTGAGATTTTTTCCCCCTGCACAAAATGATAAATGAAAATTGATACCTGGCCAATGTGGCTCTGTAGTGTTGCAGGTTCGATTACTGGTCAAGGGCATGTTACATGGGTTGCAGGTTCCATCCATGGCCCCAGTCAAGGATGCAACTGGTCATGCCTTTCTCACATCGATGAAAAATCGGTGGGAAAAATAATCCTTGGGTAGGATTTAGAAAGAAAATTAACAGGAAAATGGTTTACTATTTTCAGTAGAATCTGAAGGAGAACATAGAGACAGCAACACTCTAGACTGTAATAATGATGGTTGAGTTGATGATATCCTGGATTAATTTTTCCAAACCAAAGAGTTTATGATATATTTCTTTTTTTTAGAATTATGGATAGTTTTTATTTTTATTTTTTAAAATTTATTAAATCTTTATTGTTCAGATTATGACAATTGTTTCTAATTTCCCCCCCATAGCTCCCCTCCACCTGGTTCCCATCCTACTCTCTGCCTTCACCCCCCCCCCCACTGCTTTCCCCCACTGCTTTCCTCATCCATAGTTGTGTGATTTTTGTCCAGTCTCTTCCCATACCCCCCACACAGACACCCCTTTCCCCCTGAAAATATCAGTCCACTCCCATTCTATGCCCCTGATTCTATTATATTCACCAATTTATTCTGTTTCTCAGATTTTTAATTCAATTGACTTTTAGATTCACTAGTTGATAGATATGTATATGTTGTTCTTAATTTTTATCTTTTTCCTCTTTTTAAAGACTACTTTTCAGCATTTTATATAATACTGGTTTGGTGATGATGAACTCCTTTAGCTATTTCTTATCCGTGAAGCTCTTTATCTGCCCTTCCATTCTGAATGATAACTTTGCTGGGTTGAGTAATCTTGGTTGTAGCTTCTTGCTATTCATCACTTTGAAGATTTCTTGCCACTCCCATCTGGCCTGCATAGTTCCCTTGTAGGTAACTAACTGTTTTTCTCTTGCTCCTTGTAAGATTTTCTTTTTGTCTTTTGCCCTTGGCATTTTAATTATGATGTGTGTTGGTGTGGTCCTCTTTGGATTCTGTTTGTTTGTGGTTCTGTGTGCTTCCTGGACTTGTAAGTCTGTTTTTTTTCACCAGGTGGGGGAAGTTTTCTGTCATTATTTCTTCAAATAGGTTTTCAGTTTCTTGCTGTCTCTCTTCTTCTGGCACCCCCATAATTCTGATGTTGGTACGCTTGAAGTTGTCCCAGAGGCTTCTTACACTATCTTCAACTTTCTGGATTCTCGTCTCTCCTTGCTTCTCTGGAGGATTGTCCTTTGCCTCTTCGTATTCCAAATCTTGCGTTCCTCTAGTCTGCTGTTGGGTCTCTGTATAATATTTTTTATTTTAGTCAGTGTATGTTTAATTTCTAGTTGGTCCTTTTTCATATCCTTGGTCTCGTTAAATTTATCGGCCTTTTCTAGGAAATTCTTGAAAAACCTTATAACAGTAGTTTTGAACTCTATGTCCAGTTGTTTGTTCTCCTCCATTTCTTTCGTTTGATGTTTTCTTGTCTCCTCATTTTCCCTTCTTCCCTGAGTTGGTAGGGTAACTTTGTATGTTAGGTATCCTATATGGTTCATTGGGTCAGTCTCCCAGTTACCTGAGGTGGACACTCTTGTTGCACTCCTTTGTGGACTGTGTGTACAGCCTTGTTGTAGTTAAGTCTTGATTGTTGTTGGTGGCACTGGGAGGAATTAATCTCCAGGCCAATTGGCTGTGAAGACCTGCTGTGTCTATAACGGGAGAATTGCAGTGCTGGAGATACGTTTATGGGGCAAGACTTGTTCCAGTGGGGCTTTGGTGCTCACTGAGTCTGCTTCTTTAATGTGTCCCTTATGAGAGTAGTTGAAATCTGGTGTCGACTCACACAGATCACTAGATACACTAGTTTCTGGATCTCCAGTGGGGTGCAGGTCAGCTACTGTTTGAGGCCACCCAGCAGGAGCTACAGCAAGAACTACAGTTTTCTCCTCTTTATTTGGGATTTGGCGGTTTTGGAGCAGTCTGACTGGAGCTGCAGTTTATTTGGTTAAGCTGCCACAGGGTAGGCCATTTATATCCAAAAGCCTGGGCAGGTTTGTAGAATGTGTGGGTCAGGGTCTCAGGTCACCAGTAGGCTAGGGTGCAGCAAACAGCAATGGCTGCCAGCCAGCCTTCTCTACCTTTCCGTGTTTCCAAGTTCCACGCTACAGCGCAGTAAACAATGATTGCTGGGCACATCTCTGCAAAAAAGTCACCCTCACTTTTCTGACCCGATGGCCCACAGCCCAGCTTCTCCCCGTACGCATCTTGGTCCCCCGAGTGTCCCCAGAAACTGGATTTCAGAGTGATGGGGAGCTTGTCTCTCTTTGGGTTGAAAAAAAAAGCTGCATGCCCAGTCACCTGTCACCAGCCCGATTCGCGTGCCTCTGTACCTCAGCTTTTCAGCGTTTGTGCTTTTTTCTCTTTCCTTCTAGTTGTAAAACTTCCACTCGGCTAGCTTTCCCGTGGTTCTGGATGATATACATTCTGTCTTTAAGTGTTATTCTCATCCATTTTAGTCATTCAGCAAGGTTTTCATCATGCAGTATTATAGAATCATGAAGTCCCATGAAAGTATCTTAATACATAAAATTCTACCCTGTTTCCCCGAAAATAAGACAGTGTCTTATATTAATTTTTGCTCCCCAAGATGCGCTAGGTCTTATTTTCATGGGATGTCTTATTTTTCCATGAAGAAGAATACGGTACACATTTATTGTTAAATGAAAATAAAGGAAATTTATTACCCGTATATGGTACGGTAGTACGGTAGTTGTCAACACAAACCAGACAAACTGTGAATCCTACAGTATCAAGAATTTACTCATTTATTCAATGACAATCATGTCATCATCTTCTGGAACATCATCCTAACAATCCAATTCCTGAATTTCCTGGTGAATTTCTTGTGACTCCATTTCTTTCATAATCAGTGGACCAAATCTCTCATGTTTAGCAATAGCACTGTCTTTAAATGAGTACTTCTTGTCAAGGTAGCCTGCTCGCAGTGCATTTGCAATGCAACTCAGTGATTTTCTCCCATGAATTCTTCACCCAAGTCACAACTTCTTGCAGTTTAGGTTTCACAAAGTTTCCACACTGATTTCTCTCCATTCTATTTTCAATGTAGTCATTAATTTCCATGCGCAAATTGTCTTTGAATGGCTTGTTTATTGCAATATTTTAGGGGGCCTTATTTTCGGGGGAATGCCTTATATTTCACTCAGAAGGAAACCTGTAAGTAGGTCTTATTTTCGGAGGATGTTTTATTTTCGGGGAAACACGGTATTAGACTTGAATGTCATATGCTGTTGTAATTATCATGTTTCAATTAAGAATTAGCATATAGCCCTAGCCGATTTGACTCCATGATGGAGCTTTGGCCTGCAGACTGAAGGGTCCAAGGTTTGATTCTGGTTAAGGGCATATACCTGGATTGTGGGCTCAATCCCCAGTGTGGGGCATGCACGAGGCAGCCAATCAATGATTCTCTCTCATCATTAATATTTCTCTCCCTCTCCCTCTCCCTCTCCCTCTCCCCCTCCCTCCCTCCCTCCCTCCCTCCCTTCCTTATACTCTGAAGTAAATTTTTAAACAGATTTAGCATTAAATATTTTTAAATGGGTTCATTTTATTATCTCTTTTTACTTGGCTATGGCATAAGTTCTTGAACTTGGCTTCTTCAGATCTGTGATTTTTTTCCCCCTTCTTTAATAACTTAGTTATAAATGAACTTTTTTCCCATATGAACTTGACTTTTCTCAGTTCCAAATTAGTGTTTCTCTTATGCTACTTAAAATATATATATTGATTTCAGAGAGAAAGGGGGAGGGAGAGAGAGAGAAAAGAAACATCAATGATAAGAGACAATCATTGATCAGCTGCCTTCTGCATGCCTCACACTAGGGATCAGGATTGAGCCCGCCCAGGCATGTGCCCTGACCAGGAATTGAACTGTGACCTCCCGGTTCATAGGTTGATTCTCAACCACTGAGCCATGTTGGCTGGGTTCTCATGTTACTTTTGTTGTATTTGCAAAATGTTTGTTTTTGGGGCATAGGATTGTAACAATCCATTTTAATGTTATAGAGTTGTTGGAATATATTGTTAATATAATTTATTTCTTTATCTTTAGGGATCTTATTGGGCAATAGACACCAATCCGAAGGAAGATGCGCTGCCTACTCGGCCAAAGAAGAGAGCACGATCTGTAGAACGGGTAAAAAAGCTCTTTATTTAGTTTGTGTCATTATGTCAGAAATATAGATTTTAATGGTTCATTCAATACAGCAAGTATGACTGTAATGGAGATAATATTTAATCTTATAACATTTTCTATATTTTCAAATTCATTATTTTATTTGATCTTAACTCAGGTGAGATGGGCAGTTTAGGAATTAAGTAAAAGGTGTGTTGGTTGTTTTGTAATTAGGAAACAACTATTGTCATTTGCAAATCCAGGTTTCTTAAGTTTTAATTTTAGACTCCTGGCATGTGCAACATTTAGGGTTGGTTTTAGTTAACAAAACTATTCTTTTTTACTGCATACAGTCTAATTAAATTGAGTTTTCCTGATTATCTTTCAAATGCTTTTTCCTCCTTCCAACTATGTAATAATTATTTTATACACAAAATCTATTAAGTGTACGTGTTATTTTTAAGATAATTCTTACTTGTAATTCATTCTTAAAAATTAATTTGCAAGATGAAAGAGAAAAAGGAGCTCTAATTGGTATCCTCAGTTGTTTATTGTAACATTAGAGGCCCAGTGCTGGAAAATTAGTGCACTTGGAGGTTCCTTAGCTCAGCCTGCCTCCTCTCACAGTCTGTGAGCCCTCAGGAGATGTCCTACTGATGGCTGCCCTCCATCTGTGGAAGGTGACAGGACTAATCAGGGGAAAGTGCCATCTCTATTACCCCACTGCTGCTGCCACTGCTGGCTCTCTGAGCCCATGGCTGCCTGAGCCCTGGGCCTCATAGCTACTGTGTCTTTGTCTGCTCTAATTAGCATATTACCCATTTATTAATATAGATATTTTTAGTAAACACTTAGACTGTCACCAGACATTAAATTTACCTTTCAGCTTTCTCTCTGTATATTTTCCAGCATTTCAGCATGTGCGCGCACGCGTTCTTTCCCTCCCTCCCTCCCTCCCTCCCTCCCTCCCTCCCTCCCCTCTCTTTTCTCTTACACACACACACACACACACACACACACACACACACACACACGTTTTACCCTATTGTTCCTCAAGACCAACAGAGGAAATATATATCTTCAGTGTTAATGATTTTTACAGCTCATATCAGGTCAAAGGAAATATGATAAAATGAAAGAAACAGTAAACATTTGGTCAAATAAATTTGTTCTAAGCTCCTTGTAATAAAAGACAGAGTTAAGTAGGAGACAATTTAATTAGGCATATATAATACATATGGGAGCACCACAAAAGTATGAGACTCAAAAGCAGCCAGGCAATTGAGGCTAAGGAGAGAGATTGGGATAGGGGTCTTCAATAGGGAGAAAAACAATTCACAGGAAGGTGGGAAAAGCAAATGTTTGGTAAATCACATCTATTTGCTGTGCCATGCAGATAAGCCTCTTAGATATAAAGTTATCTTTGGTAATAATTCTCTTATTGGTACATGCCACCTTTCTAATTTCCTTTAGGCAGTTAGGAGGATGTGAAGAGCTTTTGCTGACTGCTGGGTCTTGATTGCCTTCAGCTCAAAATAATTCACAAACAATTGGCACATTCTACAGTGGCCTGTTCTAAACCCCCTCAACACTGAGTAGATGGAGTTGCCGTAGTCTAGTTGGTAAAATGGTAATGGCCTGGGCTAGGGATGTGGACATAAATGAGAAAGTTCTCTAGAAAATTAGCATGGTTTCAAAATTATCAGGTTTCAAAACATACCTGTAATTGTCTACAGTTTTACCAATTTGACTGATATTTGTTCTGTAGATACTGTGTCAGACATTATGCTTGGGTGCTGTAGGGTATAGTAAGAAAAATGAGATAGAGTAAGACAGTTTTAGCACAAAGTAAAGTATGTATGGAAAGTATTATAAGAAAGACATAAAATGCTGGGACAACGGCAATTAAGAAAACAGACATTCTCTGCTCCCATAATGTTTATTCTGATGAGGGGTGGGGTGAGTAATGAGATAAAAAGCCTTGGTAAAGATATGATACAGAGGTGGAAAAGTATCAAGATTGGGTAGTTCATTTTGTCTGTTTAAGTTTTCCCTTTTCCACATTAATTTGCATAAGTCATGCCATTCATTGAGAGGCTGAGTGAGAGTACACCTCTTACTTTGTAAGCATAGAGCTAAGTGTTAGGGAAATAGAGACAGACCCATACTCTCTCCTTATGAAGCTTTCACTTAAGCAGGAAAGATAAACTGATATGGTAGGGTGACAGTGTTCCTCAGTATTATTAACCTGTTAACCGAGCGGGACCTATAAATACGGCAAACGGACGGTATATATTTTTGTAATCTTTTTTTTATTTTTTTATTTTATTGATTTTTTTACAGAGAGGAAGGAAAGGGGAGGGATAGAGAGTTAGAAATATCGATGAGATGAGAGAGAAACATCGATCAGCTGCCTCTTGCACACCCCCCACTGGGGATGTGCCGGCAACCAAGGTATATGCCCTTGACCAGAATCGAACCCAGGACCTTTAGGTCCGAAGGCCGACGCTCTATCCAATGAGCCAAACCGGTTTCGGCTATTTTTTGTAACTTTATCATTGTTTGTAAAATTTATAATTTTTTAATTTGACGTGTCCATTTTTTTTTTGTCGGTATTCTTTTCTATTTTTTTTGTAATTTTGTATTTTCCTTTGTGCTTTACATATATATATAAATAAACGAAAAAAATATATGTATTTCATTTATTTTCATTAAGTATAAATAAAAAAAAATATGAAATTACATCCTCCGGGCGTGACGTACTGCCACGTCCTAGTGAAAGAGTATTCATTCTCAAAATAGCATTTAGATGATAAATAATGTGGTTACCGTAAAGATAAGGGTCTTGAGAACTATGGGACCATATAGCAGAGAAGTAAAATTTAGTCTTAGGAGACTCAGGAAAAGTTTCCTTGAAGAACTGATATCTCAGTGGGGGCCTGTTAAATGAACAGAAATGGCTGGTAATGAGGGTGATTTACAGTGTGAAAGAGTAAGGTGAACTTATGTGTGAAAAGCTAGTGGTTAAAAAGCGATCCAAAATTTAAAGGAAAAGACAGGTTAGTATGGCTGGAACATAGAGTTCAAGAAAGACAATAGATTTTTAAAATACATTAAAAAAAATCAATTTTAGAGAGCGGAAAGGAGAGAGATAGAAACATCAATGATGAGAGAGAATCATCGATTGGCAGCCTCCTGTATGCCCCCACAGGGGATTAAGCCCAAAGCTCAAACTGTGACCTCTTGGGGAGGGGACCTCTACAACCACATGTTAATGTGGGATCAGCCTGTTTCGTATCTCCACGCCTCCTAAAAGTCTTTTTTTTTTTTTTTTAATTTAAATTTTGTCATTTTAAAAAATTGATTTTAAAGAGAGGAATGGTAGGTCAGAGAGAGAATGAGAGAAAGAGAAACATTGATTTGATGTTACACTTATTTATGCATTCATTGGTTGAGCCTTGTATGCGCCCTTACTATGGTATTTATTGAACCCACAACATTGGCGTATGGGGACAATGCTCTAACCAACCGAGCTCTTCTGGCCAGGGCTTTTCCTGCCAGTCTTGATGTGGCTTCTTTATATCCTTAGTCATAAGACTTCTGTAGAGCTAGATTTCAGGCAGTTCTGAATGATGGCGGTTCTGTAGTTTTAATTGTTATTTAAATGTGGTTGTGAGAGGATGTGAGTATCACATTTATCTACTCTTCCACCTTGACTGAAAGCTCAAATTTCTGCATTTTGCTTTTTAATTTGGCCTTGTCAGTTCAGTTCAACCAGAAGATATTGATTATTTATTAATGAGTAAATGGTATTTATTATTTATTAATGAATAATAATAAATGTCATTATTATCTATAATAATAAAAGTGTAATATGCTAACATCCAGGATGAAGCTTGGGCTTCAAGGGAAGCCTGGGTGCTGGCTGGCGACTGGAGGGAAACATGGGTCCCGGGTGCTGGAGAGAAGCTGGGTGCCAGCAGCTGGGGTAGGAAGGCCTACTCTGGCATGAATTTCCTGCCTCGGGCTACTAGCGAATAATAATAAATATTCATAAATTAACAGAAATAAGAGATAATGGAGAGAGAAACCAAGATGGCGGCATAGGTAACCGCCTAACCGCAGCCTCACACAACAATTTCAAAAAATACAGCTAAAATATAAAGTGGACATTATCCAGACTACAGGAAAGTTGACTGACTGGAAATTCTACAACGAGAAGGAAAGAGAAAACTAGAAGGAAAATCAGAGGAGCTGTAATAAGGTACGGAGACACGTTGTGTGCGCGGAGAGGACGGAGTCAGAGAGGAGGGGCGGCTGAGTGCCTGGTTGGCATTCCCTAGCAGGAAGGAGATAAAAGCTCCGGACTGTGCTGAACCCAGTTCCGACAGCACTGAAACTCAGTTCTGAGCGAGACTCTGGGGACCCAGACACATACATAGGGAATCTGGGCTTTAAGGCGGACGCTCAGGGGCGAAAGGCAGAGCCCTGGAGTCGTGCACATTTCACGCAGAGGACAGACTGTTGATTGAGCCACTGGATTGCCCTAACGAGAAGGAGACATAAGTTCCGGACTGCTCTTAACCTCACTTCCAACTGCACTGAACCCCAGTTGCAGGTTCGTTGCGGGAGAGACTAGACTGACTGGTAGTGGGCGAAACTCTAGGGCACCTTTCTCTCAGAGGTGCTTGCAGCGAGTACCAAAGGACACTGAGAAACACTAAGACTTGGGAGCCTCATAGGGCAGGGCTGAGGGAAGCCAAGGCTGTAGGCTCCACCCTGAAACTCTGCCCCATCCAAGCTGAGCACAGAGGCTCTTGCAGTTTTCCAAGTCTAGTGGAATAAGGCTGTCTCTTGGCATAGATACAGCTGTTCCTCCCACCCTACCAACTCAGAGAAGCAGTGAAAATGCCGAGACAAGGAAACAGATCACAAATGAAAGAAATGGAGGACAAAAAGCGACTGGATATAGAGTTCAAAACCACGCTTATAAGGTTTTTCAAGAGTCTCCTAGAAAAGGT